GGGGGGGGGGGGGGGGGGAGGTCAAATTGTGCAGTCATCCACGACACTGTACAGTACATAAACACAGTACACAAGCAGGACTGGGCACCAATTTGATGGACTGGAATATACATATATCAGCATTGTATGGTCATTTGTCACATCAATGCTGAAGTTGGAGATCTCAGAAACACTGGTTTTTGACTCAACATTGACATGAATAATAACCCAAGAATCAGTCAGTTTCCAAGTCGCTTAACCGTGACTATGACATTAAACATAACAATACAGAGGACATCAAATGAAGGAATATTGACTTACAGTAAACAATACAAAATACTTCTGATTGTTCTCACCAACACAGTTGTTCACCCACGGGCAGTGATGATCCATTTTTCGAATGCATCTGAAACAAAGAGTTGAGGATATCATATTCTTATTACTGAATGAACCTTGACAGTTTTCTGATAGAGACCATGATCAGTGCATTCATACCACAAGAAGCACATTATGAAAAATAGTGTACTGAGTGTCTTGCCCTCACCGCTGGCATACTGAACAGTGATGAGCACGCTCAGGCTTAATACTGCAACATTTGGGGCACTTAAATATCACTTGACCTTCTCGAAAACCCATCTGTTGAATCATCTCTTTTGTTGCATTTCCTTTTGGCACCGCACCCTAAAATACCAAAGGCTCAGTATTAGAAAAAAAATTGTATTTTGTTTCATCATTCTTAAAGAAGAAATGGCAAAAGAAAGAAACTTCAAATTTTGTTATAAAAATGTGCTTCACCAGACTTGTGTGATGATATATTTTGTGAACACAAAATATTAGGGATTCATTCATTCATTCATTTCCTCTATTTTCCATATATCCATACAGGTAACAAAACCTAGAATGTGGAAGTGGTCTGTTTGAAAAAAGATCTATCAAGATATGCATAATCAAAATCACTTACATTAATTGATTAACATAAATAATAACACAAAGTAAAAAATGTAATAAGATTTTAATTAACATACATAATTTAAAAACAACTTGCTATTAAACTTGAATTAATACAATTTTATTTAAATTACCTATATTAACTTAATTAAATACATTACAAATTTACAAACTTATGACCAATTATGTTGATAATATTCATTCATGGAATAAAAAGAATGATGATATAAAAACTTCTTCAATGCAGATTTAGAACTTCTCTCATCAGTAGCCAACATTTTTAATGTTTGAGGAAGATGATTAAAAACTTTAATACCTGATATGTATGCACCTTTTTTATTTTGTTAGGTTAACTGCAGGTAAATAGAAATTATTGAGGGCTCTAGTTTCATATTTGTGAATCTCACTGTTAAAATTAAATAAATGTTTACTATTAATTGTGTATAAAAGTAAGGAATATATGGACAGAGAGTAGAATGTCATTAGTTCCAAATTCTTAAAAATGTCCCTACAAGACTCTCTTGGTCTAGAATGCGTTATAATTCTAATTAATTTCTTTTGCAATATAAAAATGTTGTTAAGACAAGAAGAGCCACCCAAAAAAATTATACCATAACTTATGATAGAATGTATATGAGCAAAATAAATGAGCTTTAACGTCTCAATGCATAACATGCAATGGAAATTTTATTATTAACATAATCAATATGCTGTTTCCACAATAGAATATCATTAATAATTAATCACAGAAATTTTGTCTCAGTCACATTTGTTAAATTTATCTGATCACAGTTAATTTGAGTAGCGATATTATAATAATTCATAGGTAAAAACTCGACATATTGAGTCTTATTAAAATTCAAGGTAAGCAAATTAGCATTAAACCATGTGTCACATACAATGGGGTACCCAAAAGAAACTGAACTAATTTTTTTGTGGGCAGAGCTTTTGTAGTACCGCGTTTTGCCGCTATGAGCGCATAGAGCTAACATTCCTGAGTCGATAAGCCGACTCAGTTGGGCAGTCGGGTGACTGGTTTTTCCATCATGACAATGCCCCTGCTCACACAGCCCTGTCTGTACGACAATTCTTGACCAAAAATGGTATGACCCCTGTTCCTCACCCTCCATACTCACCCGACCTTGCCCCGTGCGACTTTTTTTTGTTTCCTCGAATGAAAAGAGACATGAAAGGAAAGCGTTTTGCTGATGTTGCTGAGGTGAAGGAAAAAACGACGGAGGCGCTGTCAAGCATCTCAAAAGATGAATTTAGACAATGTTTTGAAAAATGGAATAAAAGACTAGACAAGTGTATTAGTGTAAGTGGAGAGTACTTTGAAGGGGATTGAAGGTTTGTGATTAAAATTTGAATAAATAAGTTTAAAAAAAAATAAGTTCGGTTCCTTTTGGGTACCCCCTCGTACACATAAGTCCAGCAATACAACGCGTGGAGCCACATAAGAAAGACGCATCATAAGACACAGTATATACACAATTAAAACATAAGAAGAATGACTCCCATAGCGGATGAATGGCATTACACACAAGTTTGATATACGACATGTAAGATGATAGATCTTAACAAGTTCTAATATATAAATTTTATTATTGAACGATGACGAACACACATTTTATATCAGTTTATAAATGGACACTTGATGGCAAGCAGTGCAATGGTTTAATGTGATTAATACACCTGAGGATGGCAGAATGATGCCGAAACATGTAGTGTAGAGGAAGAAAAAACAAAGAACTACAACCAAATAAATTGTTGCATTCACGACGGCATTTGTATTATTACATATATTTAATATGTCATTTAACTTTGATTTCCTATTATAATTTTCTGGATAATTAATATTTATGTCGCCACATAATACAAATTCCGAGTTATACCTATGAAGGAAAAAAAGTATATAGTCCAGTTTGTTTAAAAAAGAGTCATAATTTCCAGCTGGGCTCTGTATATACATACAATTACCTTTTTCTCATTAAGTTTTAACTGAATGGCTGCAACTTCCATGTCTTGTTCCTTACAATATTTTTGTATATTTATAGTAGTAAAATTTAGACCATCTTGAATGAATATACATACATCACCATTTTTTAACTTCTTCCTACAATATCTTGCACCTAATTTATATTTAGGAGTATGTGAAGCATACATTTCATAGTCCATTTGATGATGTTCTGACAAACAAATTACAATGGGTCCCTCATTTAATAAAGATATCATTAACCTACTAATTTTCCCTTTTATTCCCCTAATATTTTGAAGAAATATCTTAAATAGGTTATTTATATCATCATTCTTATTACACGACTGATTACTTAGTTGTTCCACTACAATGTGCTTTTGTCTATTTGAAATTACTTCTGCCACAAAAAAATCATTGCTTCTTGTGATGGTGGCTTTATTTTGCCTAATTGAGGTCCAACCTACTTGTGTCCTACCATCTGATATTCTACCTACTTCTTCTACTGGAACATCCCCACATGGTGTAGAAGTCGTTGAATTTTCTGAACATGGTGTACATTCTTCTGTGGATGTACTTCCTCCTGGTGTATTTGTAGCAGCTGTTGTTGTGTCTGGTGCTGCAGTTAGTCCAGCCTTGTCCTTTCTTGTAGAGGATGGTTTCTGAAGTCTTCTTGATAAAACGGGGTTGACTGCCTCTTGATTCAACTCTGGGCTGATTCTGCCTTCTTCATACGAGGGTTATACTGAAAGTCATGAGCAACAATTTTTTGTAAAATAACATGCTTTATTAATGACAAGCCAAATACACCACCTCAATCTACAGACCTTTCTCTATTTTTCCACATAATTGCCACTTCTTTGTCGATATCTCTGCAGCAGTTCTGAGGTGATGGCTTTTTGCTGACTTTTGTGGTCTTCGGTCAATAACTGCTGGACCCAACGAGCACAAACTTTCCTATAGCCCAAGCTTTCAATCATCTCCTGTACTGCACTGTGCCCTATTCCAAGTTTTTGGGCTATTGTGTCCACAGTCACACGCCTGTCATCTTAAATGATCTCATCCACTCTTTCCTTGTTGCATTCAGTTGAGACTGTTCAAGGACAACTGCTGCAAGGCTCATCTTCGATGCTGGTGTTCCCATCTTTAAAATGTTTCACCCATCTTTGAACACTGCTCGCACCCATGCACACACTTCCATAAGCACGCTGAAGTCTCTGGTGAATTTCTGCAGCAGGGATTTCCTCTTTCACAAGAAATTCGAGGACAGCACGCTGGCGAAACGACATATCGTTGTCGGCCATTTTGTTAAGAGTGATACTGGTCACGTGATGGAAGCTATTGACATCACAAGACACTCAAGGTTAACACAACAGCTGGTTCCACCTACCACCGTACTCTTTCGTCTGCTGTTCCCAGGTTGCATGCAAAAAAAAGTTGCTCATGACTTTTGGTACGACCTACGTATATCTGGTTGTTGTGTTTCTCTTGTGATTTTTCTACCTTATCTTCTTTCCAGGTCATGCTGATTGGTTCTTCTCTTTTTTTATGTAGCATGTGCTTTATAGTAGACATTCTCTTCTTGGCAACCAATTTTTTCACTTTGTCGTTCATGTGTAGGCCATGTTTTGTAAATAGTTCTCTATTTAAGTCTAGCTTTATCAAAGCTGTATATTCAAAAGCCTTCACCAGTTTACCCAATTTTCTATTGAAGACTTCTATCTCTCTGTTTACACAGGAATCTGAATGTAGATCATATCTGTGTGGTCACGCATCTGGATGATGTTCGTATGGTTATTTTTCTTGAAGAAGTCTTTCAACTGATTTAACCCACGAGTGGTCTCATTTTTGCCTGTCTCTTGTGCCTCCCCATACTACTATCACATCATTTTTGTCAAGAGTTTGACCTCTTCTTTCACTGTGTTTGTGGTGGCCATTAGATCAGCACCTGGCTTCATGATCCCCTGGACTTCAAAATCATTGTCCAGGTTGTACGTTACCTTGGATGCACATTCTCTTCCATGGCTATCCCCGATGATTAAAATCCTGTGCTTCTTCTTTTTTGGTGATGTTTGCTTTTTGTAGTGTTTTCTTACTTCTTGATTCTTGGCTGAATTAAAGACCTGGGTTTCGCGGACATCACTATTGCAAGGTAATATCATATAACTTTGTGATCAGCCATTCCACTGAATCGACATTCTAATTAGCTCTGGTTCTAAGCTTGGACTGCAGCTATCCTGCTGGGGTCTCACAAGGCAAATGCAGAAATAGTATCTCAAATGAGGCCAGGACTGGTTCCTTCCAGACGCTATTCACTCTATGATTCACAAGAATCCTATCTGATACCATGTAACCTATAAACTAAGAAACAGACAACAAGCAGACTTACTGGGTCTGTAAACATTGCTCTTAAATGTGACGCAAATGCCAGGAATGCAAACGTCTGGAATATGAAAATATTTATTGTACTGTAGACTGGGTACGGGCTTGGTAGTAGCATTACCATCATTACAACAAACTCTGCATACAAAATCAGCAGCCATGTCAGAATCGCACAAATAACACCGCAAATATCCTGGAAAAAAAAAAGAAAAGAAAAGAAAAGTTATAGAATATAAGCATCTCTTACAGTAACAAAATTAGGATTTCATTTTGGAGAGGGTTTCTGAAAGCCAGATAACAAGAAATACACTCAATATTGTATTTAAGCATTTTGTTGCATTAATGTATCTTTTGTACACACAAATATTTCCATCTTAAATGCAACTTATTGTCTAGTCACCCTTCTTCCTCACCACAAGTTTCGGCTGTATACAGCCATTATAATGTGTTGTCTATCTTGCTAAAATTGTTGCAATCTATGTCAAAATTATGTGTGAACATAATATTTCCTAATTAAAATTAATTAACATCTTAATGTTATTTCCATTGTGGTGGTCACCATTAATTTAAAAGAAATACACTTATTAGATATTCTCACAAATCAACTAAACTGTACAAATGGATGGTGGCCCATAATAACTAGATGTTTATATTTTCATCATATATTTTTTTTTTCAGAAGAAGAAACTCTAATATTATTACAAACATTGAAGTCAGCATACATCAGTCAGTAAAGTGAGTGGTTATATTCTAGGCTTCCAGCGTTCAATTCCTGTCAGCACCTGGGATTTTTCTATTTTCTGTCATGTTGAGACTGTTTCTGTGGTATCTGTGGTATAATGGCCAGAGCATGGTCAGTTCTGCCACATGCTGGACTCTAGAATATGTGAAACATCATCTCAATGTCCCTGTATGCCTTCATGTTACGGTCTTTAGACAAATGAAAGTTTATTATACTTTTGGTTTATTTAATGACAAAGTCAGTAACTCATACTGTATAGCATTGATTTCATTTTCACCATCAAAATATTTTAGTGGGTGTCTGAACCACACATGAACATCCTTTCTCTCTAAATATAATTCTGATGTCTTGGTGTGATGCCCTACTGAAACAGGGGAAAAAAAAAAAAAAATAATGGAAAGGTGCACCCAATTTTGGAATACATACTTCCCAAATGCATTCTTTGAAGCTTCACATCTTAATGTTCAATTAACACAGTTACATTTGTTGTAAAAGTTAGCCACATTGTACATATCACATTGCACAAACACAATTCAGTTTTCCTTGCATTTTTCTCTAAACAATGAAACTATAATGGTATTGCATGGCATTATGGTAACACTATACACCAATACAGTGCTCTACGTGCCAGTTTAAGGTAGTTTAAGGTAGCAGGAATATTTGGCAATAGTAATCACTCTATCAGATGTCATTTTCATGAGATGTGTGTATTTATAAGATCTCCTTAAAATCTAATATTTGTATTTTTTTCATTACTTTATGTTCTAGCATCAATGACTGGACTGTAAGTATGAAGAGCAGCAAGCCATTACATATTCACATGCTGGAACATATTTAAAATGTTTTAGATCATAATAAGATCCCTATTTTAGATCACAAACCAATTTTCTTGTACGAGAGGCGTTCAAGTTCTAAGGTCTCCGATTTTTTTTCTCAGGACTGGGAGCAGATAGTTTAGCAGATTAGTTTAAAATACTTGTGCACTCTTTGTGAATGCGTGACAGAGATGGCAGCACTCTATGGCACACAGAACTCTAGTGGTAGCAGCGAGCGTGAGGAGTGTTTTTGATACTTAAAATGGCGACGTTTTCATTACAAGAACAGCAAGTAATCATTCGTTTTCTCCACTTGCGTGGTGCGACACCCATTGAAATTCATCGTCAGTTGAGTGAGATGTGTGGTGATGGTGTCATGAATGTGAAAAATGTGCGCTCGTGGGTGCGACAGTTCAAAGAAGGCCGAACGTCGTGTGACAACGAACCAAAACAATCTCGGCCTCGCACCAGCCGGTCTGACAACATGGTCGAGCGAGTTGAGAAAGTTGTTTTGGAGGATTGCCGATTGAGTGTGGAAAACATAGCCTCCAAAGTTGGCATTTCCATGGGATCTGCACAAAATCCTGCATGAAGACCTGCGAATGTGGAAAGTGTCCTCCAGGTGGGTTCCACGAATTTTGGCGGATGACCACAAGGCTGCACGCATGGCAATGACGAAGGCATGAATGGGACTTTCTTTTCATCAACTGTGACAATGGATGAGACATGGATGCCGTTTTTCAATCTGCTATTATATCAGCAATTTTCCAGTGGTCAAAACAGACTCCTACAGAAGCGTTCGCAGCGGCCATGGAATCATGGCGTCGACGTTGTGAAAAATGTGTACGGCTGCAGGGAGATTACGTTGAAAAGTGAGAGAAGTTTCAAATTTTTTGTATGATTATTGTGTGAGAAAAAAAAATCAGAGACCTTAGAACTTGAACGCACAACGTACTATTAGCCATTTCTGAGAAAGGTAACATAGTTTGATCTGAGTTTAATGTAAAGTAAGAGTTATTCTGAACTGATAACATTTACTTTAAATCTTTTTAGACACCTCCAAAGACTAAGCAGCATTAAAATCTGATGAGTAGTTTCAGGAATATGGATGAAGAGACATAAACTCTATATTATGCATACATATGAAAGGAGCTATAAAGTTTTACCTTAATACACCATACCCATCCTCCACAACATCTGTTATGTACATCTGCCTCTCTTCTAAAAGCAGAGTACTCATATTCCATCATTTATCGGCTTTTTGTTATCCTTCAAACTGCGAAGCAATTCTATTATGCCATGATACAATTGTTTCTGGTCTTATTACTTCACTGTGTAATTGCCTCAATCTTTTTATGCCATGACACCTATTTAAAAAAAGAAAAAGAACTGTATTGTATGTACAAGCAATCACTTTATCACTCACTATCAACAATGATTGCAAAAATTTGTTCTGTGCAATTCCCATGACTTTTGAGACACTTAGGAAAGAAACTGTAAATAGGGATTTCCATTCAAGCACTTTCAGTTCACTTTATAATGAAATGGTTGCATATAGAAATATAATGGCTATTACAGGGTAAATTAATGATTTCTCTAAGTATGTCAGTCAGAAAAACTTTCTATTTTGTTTAGGACTTCATTTTCATTCTTCAATTCAGTGAATGACCACACTTTTACTAGCACACCAAAATTCATGTCATTCTCATTCTTAAACTTATGTTACATCTGTGACATGCTGTAAACAAGCCACAGAACTGTATTTCTTCACTGAATGAAAACAATGTCATCCATTAATACATTACAGATCATTTATACAATTTGTAAGCGGCCTCCGTAGTCTAGAGGTAACGTTCCCACCTCATGACTCGTAGTACGCGGGTTCAAATACCCGGCGGAGGTCGTCGAATTTTTAAGGGCGGAAAAATTCAGGGAACAAGTCCTCCGGGAGGGACTTTAAGCCGTGGGTCCCGTGTCGTAGCTTTACGGCACGTAAAAGAACCCCATATCTCCAAAGGAGGTCACTGAGCCAAATTATGGACGTTTCCCGCCCAACAGCAGTCTCTAATACCTCTGGTAGATGGGGGAAGCATTATAGATACCTCTCAGCTAGTAGAGCCGGTCTCGCTGGCTGGGCGGGACTGATGGTAAGCACCAGTACCGGTAGGATATAGAGACTGGTAGAAATCATAGAGGGAAGCACAATGGACCAACACAGGTCTCAGTGCATGGGGAAACCCACCCTCTCCAATAACTAACTAACTAACTAACTAACTATACAATTTGTATGTAGCAATCAAAGAATATTTTCTACATCAACAATACATGATCAACTGTCTTAATTAATTACAGATTTCTTTCACAGCACTTTCTTAACTGTGTCTGTTATACAGCATTAAACAGTAAGATGATTTTGAATGATGAGTTGGACTAGATGTGAAAGGAAGCATTTGTGACCTATTTCAAAGTATATTTTGCCTGTAAGAACCGATTGAAACATGAAAAATCTCAATCAGGTTAATGGCCTTAAAGAAAAGAATCAAATCCAAGACCTCTAAAATATGAAGCATGCATTCTAACCTCTACAATGGGACATCTGGTTCTTCCCATACAAATATAAACCATTTCCACTCTCTTACTGAGAAAGGTTTAAAAACAAAACAAAAAGTGGTTCTCTAATTGACACACAAAGGAATTCACAAACTGTCCTACACATCACTTTTGGAAAGGTATGAAGGAACTATATCTTCAAGTTTCAAGCCACGCACCTATATTTTTAATTTAAAAGAGCATTTTCAGGATATGTGCTGCAATATCCAAACCGGAGTAAACTGAATCCTAGAGATGGAATAGGATTCTGTAATTCCACAGCATCCATGGTCAGTAAGAAAGCTTGTATCTCAATGAGATATTGTCATACTAACTAAACCTTTCCTGAATTATTTTCAGATAAGACAAGTGGCTTTTGGACCAACAGTCACACCTGGAACATCACAAATCTGAAGCAGGAATGCTAGCCTTGATGCCTTGACATTCTACCTATCGCATATATGTGGAATCCATTACAACTCTCTCTTTGCCATTTCTATCATATGAATTTCATGTTTCAACATTTAATTCAACTCAACTCTTATTTTTTACAGTTAATCATTCAATTCAATTTTTGCTCAAAAGCTCAAATAATATAATTATTTTTCAATAATTAAGATGCACTTTTAATAATGGTCACAAAAATCCAGAAATAAAGACTGAAAATCAGTGTCTCCATTTAAATAATACAGCTGATAAAACAGTATTTTTAAGGACTGCATCCTGTTGCGTTTATACAGTACACATAAATATAATTTTTACTGTCAATGCAACAATACTCTATTATTTATTTATTTATATAGCACGCACTACATGTTTCGACCTCAAATGGGTCAGCTTCAAGTGCTGCAAGTTACTCACATACTATTACTGAACTGAAATGCTAACATTCCCATTCTTCTAAATTAGATTAGAACACTAAATTTCAGGTTCCACTGTACTGATATTGGCCAGAATTACATACAAAGTCATACAAAGGCACTATCTGCCTTATCAGTAAATATCTTCCACTGGGTGACACTACTGGTATCACTAGTCCATTTCCATAGTTTGCCTAGTAATCACAAATTCACACAAACACAATGACAATAACAACGTCATTGGGGAGGGGAAGGGAAGACAGGAAACTTTTAACTGACTAATCTAATCAACAATTTAAAACTGTACTGCTGAGCTGTAGAAGTTGACATGGCACCTAACATGTATAGAAAAAATGTTAGAGCAAATGTGACTGGAATGTATTTACAGCTATTCACGGTGATGGGTTAATCTAGTTATTCCATTTCTTTCCACAGACACCGTGCCACTACTGTGTGCACAGAAACAAGAAGAACCAATTAGCCTTGAAGGAAATACAAGCCTAATGATGCGGAGCTAAATATTACATTGACCAATCAGGAAGAACTTCTCTATGTGATTACTCATTCAGGACAGCAAACAACGTAAAAAAAAAGCTATTCCTGTAACAAGCCATGAAGGCCCACAGGGTTGCTAGACGTAGAGGCTCCCACATTTTCTAGACAGTCAGCTCACGGATGGCAGTTAGGCTGTCAGTCTTAAGCACCGGTCGCCATTTACCCTCAGGAAGATTCCTGGTACTCATTTCTGCCAGAGGCTGAGTCAACCTCAGGGCCATAGTGTGGATGGAAAGACTGCGTCAATTGAAAAATCCAATGACCTCATCAGGAATTGAACCCACGATCTTCTGGCTTGTAGCATAGTGCCTCAACCAACTACACTACTGCATGCCCCCATAAAGCAATATTCCAAATAAAAGTCATACATCTTACTGAGGTTCATAATTTACATTATGTTCTGTACTATGATCTGTAGGACAGGCTTCATAAAATTTAATTATGGCATTATGTAAGGCAGAGGTTATAATTCTCTGAGATGAGCCAGATTAAATTTGTTCCACAAATTTTAATGTGAGCCACCCATGCCAAATTTCATCATAATCTGTCAAGTAGTTTCAGAAGATGAGACAAGACTGAATACAAATGGAAGTCCACAGATACTTGAATTCTGTGGTTGGCAGGAGGTTGCTGTACAAACAAGACTATATTAAATATGACTTCTAACTCTGCTGTGTAATGTCTTCCTTGATCACTGTAATCCATATGGCATATATGTGATAATCTTTACAGACTGCATCCTGTTGTGTATATAATATTTGATTTTTTATTTGTATTATAACCATCAACACAACACACAACGAGTGGTATGGAAATATCTTCAACAGAGATAGTAGACGTTAATGTACATTTTACTTATTTATTACAAATATGGCTATGCTACATGTTTCGACCACAATTTGGTCATCATCAGTTCTTAAATGAACATATCTCAAGTAATTAAACATATTGGGTACAATATGGATCCATATTAGTTAACAGAGTGCTGTGTTGTAGCAAATATATCTTGGGAATATATTCAAAATATTTAAAAGGTAAAAAATTATAAAAAATAAATACAATGTTAAACAACATATTAAATTAATTAATTAATTAAAGAGTAAATGAAATCATAACACAAACTGTAGAAATAACATCCAGCTCTTCATAACATTTCCTAGATACAAGAAGAAAATAAGATTAAAATACTGGTGAGAGAGTATACAAGTATAGTTTTTTACACTCTGTTTTGAACACTGAAAATATTTCCACAGTATTAACAACAAAAGTAACTTATTAATAATGCACACAAACTTAAAGGTGTCACCTGAATACAGCATTCTGCAATATGCAAAACTATACATAAAATGCATGATTATCACACTGCAAGAAGAGCTATAGCAGATATGAACTAAACAGTGTTGAGAGTATGTGTCACATGGGTCGCGCCATAGCTCAAGCAGTTAGTCGCTGGCTTCCCAGCGTGGTGGCCCAGGTTTGATCCTGGGTCTGGTCAAGTGGGATTTGTGGTGGACAAAGTGGTGCTGGGGCAGGTTTTCTTTGAGTACTTCAGTTTCCCCTGCCAATCTTCATTCCACCAAATTCTTCATTATCAATCATCCAGGGCAGGCTACAATAGGCCAATCAATGGCTGCCATGCCGAGTGGACCCAGTTGGACTCCACCCCCCACTAAGCGAATTAAAAAAAGTGTCACATAGGCTTGTTGCAAGCTCTGCTTCGCAGCCATCTGCCTATTTTCCAGTGCATCATGTTTGATTTCTGCAATAGCATTTAATTGGTAAGATTAATTATATTTACAAAATATCACAACATTTAGACTGCGATCTGTATTGGTGGGAAAACATAAAGGAATGAACCACAGGAATGTCTCAACATACTTGGGAGTATAATATATAGAAGGGATCTCAAAGCAACATTATGTGAGGGTGTGGAATACATTCTGTTGTCTCGGAATAGGGACGAGTGGCGGGCTTTTGTGGGGACAGTTATGAAACTTCGGGCTCCATTAAATACTTGGGATTTCTTGAACTTCTTCAATGACTGAAGAGCTATTAGCTACTCAAGGACTCAGCTTGATGGAGCTAGTCAGTTTGTCAGCTACATCTGTGGACGCGTATTGTAACATATAGCTCTGCTTTAAAATGTTAATATCTAACACGGATTTTACAATCAATTACAAATAAGTAACTGATTGCAATGAACATTTTTACTGTAGTAAACTATACCACCATTCAAATACTTTACAGCTATTTTCATGTTTGAGTGAAAATACAATGTCGGGAAAATGCATTTGCTATTCATAACTTGGTGTTTAATAATCAAAGGATTTGGCAACCAATGTTACTAACCTAGCTTTCCAATACTGATTCTGAAATTTCATTTCAGTACCACATTTTCTCCTTGAAGTTTTTAAACTTATAAATGTATAGATTTATGCTGGTATTTCAGTACTTCTGCAGACTGTTCACTGCAATAATAACCGTAATGCATGTGAGAACAATTGCATATAATTACAAACAATCTCCTATGTCTAGTCGCAGTTCAATATTCAACTATTTTGGTATCAGCTGATAACTAGTTGCATGAAATACTTATGGGGTCAGCAGTGTACACGTTCAGCTCAACGTGGAGGTTGTGCCGTTAATGTTTTTGCTGTATCAGGGTAACGTTAGAAATGTTTCATTTTCTGTACCATGCATAATTTTATGGAAAGCCTGATGTTATTGTAAGTGTAAAGTGTATTACATTCTCGTCTGAAGAGTATTCTGTGTTACTGTCTTCGTTAAATACGTAACATGGCAGTAAGTATGCCTACATTTAGTTTTTCGTGTGTATGAGTGCTTGTTTCATGGTTTACCGCCCGCAGATAGGTTTTGAAATCCACTGAAATGTCTTCTGTTTCAGCCACAAAAAGGAAAACAAGCAACTAAAGGCCAGAAACAAATTGTTGAAGAAAATGCAGCAACTTTAAGTTTTTATCGGAATATGGTATTCATTGCAAATGGAATATACTTGACTGTGACATGTGTTACTTCAGACACATTCAGTGTGCAAATGATTGTAAGTTTACATATTTTTTACTTGAATATATCGTATGATTTACACAAGTTTGGGCAGTTTTGATTATCATATAATTAAGAAAAAAAGTCCAGTTTTTCATTCTATGATAGAACTGGGTTAAAGGAACAGTACTTATAGAAGAAATTCACTTTCTGCCTCTTTTTGTTGTCAATCCAAAACGAAAATGTATTGTCTGCTTAAAGAAAATCTCCATAATATAGTCTCCTAATCGGAAATATGATAATATTATAATTAAGAGTGATGAATAATACACAAACTTATATTATTCCTCATGAGCCATTATCATTGCTGCTACTACAACTGTCAGTACCAGCAGTGATAATGTCAAGTTCCCTATGTTTGCTCTGTTGAATTCCACCAAATGTTCAGGAGATGATTCTATAATTTTCCAGACATTGGAGATCTGCTTTAGAATTAAGGTTGTCTCAATGGTGATTTTAGAGTTCTATCTTTTTGAAATTTATGCCATGTAGTACAGTAGAAGTTAGGCAGCATTCCTCCAAAATGTCGGTGAACTTCATCCTACATGACATCACATATCAGAAGATAATACATTTCATTGGATATCTGCTTAGACAGATGAACATACTATATTCTTGGACTTTATGTCAACACAGGAATCTTTCATTATGTATATGAACAAATATGACAGATTATGTAAAATGGAGTTCACATATAATAGGAGATATTATTAGAGAACAAAGTAGTGGGTCTGGAACAGGGTCCACCCAGCCTCGTGATGATAATCGAGGAGCTATTTCAAGGAAATAGCGGCTCCAGTCTAGAAAACCGAAATTAATGGTCGTGGGGATCCGTTGCGCTGACCATGCGACACCCTCTATCCGCAAAAAGTTGGCACTAAACTTCGCCAACAAGCGGCGGTCACTCGGTCGGTATAGTTCACTTGTGGACTAAAACCACAGAGTTTGTTTTATTGTTAGAGAACAGTAATTTCGAAAATGAGACATAAACTGAATAAAATCTGAAGTCAACTATTTACTTCCAAGCTGAATCAGTCAATTGGTTAGCATCCAGGACACCACATCAAGTAGCCACTTACCTTCCCTTTTTTACCTCCTCTCCTGGCACCTATAAATGCAGTTACTTTTCATGCCCATGATGTTTTCACTGAAGTTGGCAATTGCAGTCTTTACCAAAATGTGTGAAAGGCTTTCATTCATTCATTCATTTATTCACGTTCCATAAAATCCTTACATGGTTTAAACAACCGAACAGATATAGAAATCGTCAAGTAGTATGAACTCATCTTGCTTATAATCAAGCAGTTGTCAATATGTTTGCAATATAAAACAATTTGAAAAGTTTACACAGTATCACAGTAATCAATATACAATATAAAATAATGGTGATAAGTAATATGGATAATAATATTGACAACTAATCAGATAAGAAGTATTATTACAGATAAAATGAAGTTACTTCAGTAGATGATGTGACCCAAATCCAAAGCCAGTCTTACAGATGAACTATTATTGAAGTTTTATAAATACAAGATATTTTAGAATATTATAGTTGCTAAAACTTGACTGAAATTTAGAAATAGATGCATATTTTATGCACTGTTTTCTTTTGCATAGATACTGTTCTTGTTTGCTGCTGCTGCATACATTGGAAGCTTCCAGTTCATGGCATATATGGCAAGACCAAAGTATGCAGATTCGGGACAACTTCTGGACAGCGGAGTTGACCTCAACATGGAAGGAGGTATTGCAGAGTAAGTTTTGGCTGTGTTACTGGTTGCCTGAGCAGATTTCCACTATGTAAACAGGGATTAAAAATTATATGCAGTTGTGCTTGCCAAATAAATTCGTTCACCACCAAAAGACATTTGGAAAGATATTGTTGTTTTTGGTATGTCCTGTTAACTTTTATTTTTGTTCTATTTAATGATGCTGTCAGTAGCATAACTATATAGCGTGGATAATGAACTTCAAAGTATGTGGAAGGAAGCATTCGTGACCTGTTTCAGGTGCTACCCAGGCAAGGAGGGATTGGGGAAACTTGTTAAAAACCTATCAGGATAATATGTGTCCCACCCAAGATTTAAACAAAGTGTCTCCTGAACACATGTCACAAACATTACCGCTTGAGTCAGTGTGTTCATCATTGTTGTAATTGTGAACTTTTGATGATTAAGAAAATAAATATATTGGTATGTGTTGTCATTGAGATGTGTGTGAAGTTGGTTGAAGCTTGAATTCCCATTAAGGGTGAATAGTTCCTGCACTTGCTTGAAGTACGTGGCGCAATCCAAAAGTTCCCGAAATATATTTATAAAAACTATTACATCTTACCTAGTTCTTATTCTGCACCATCACCTTCAAAGTAGTCCCTTGGGAGCGCATACACCAATCCCAGCATTTCTGCCACTTCTCAAATGCATCCTGGAAGTCTTTCTTTGTTAGGGTGTTTAGTACCGTCTGCGTTTCCGCTTGAATTTCCTCAACTGTATCAAATCTTCACCCCTTCAACTTGATTTTCATCTTGGGGAAGAGAAAGAAGTCGCATGGAGCTAAGTCTGGCGAGTACAGTGGGTGGGGAACAACTGCCATCTTGATTTTAGCCTAAAATTCCTGCATAATGTAAGCCGTATGTGGTCGTGCGTTGTCATGGTGGAGTACCCAATCGTTCGTGCACCACTTCTCTGGGCGTTTTCTCCTCATATTCTCCCTGAAATGCCTTAGAACATTGCGATAGAACTCTTTATTGACTGTCTGACCAGGAGGGACGAACTCATTATGAACAATCCCGTCAATATCAAAAAAACAGATCAGCATGCACTTAATGTTGCTCTTGACTTGATGAGCTTTTTTTGGCAGAGGTGAAGAAGGGCTCTTCCATTGCGACGATTGCTGCTTGCTTTCAAGGTCGTAGCCATAAACCCAACTTTTGTCACCAGTGACAACCTTCGAAAGAAAGTTTGGATCCTCTTGAAGCTGTTGCTGAAGTTCCCTGCAGACTTCCAAGCAATGCTGCTTCTGTTCATTTTGCAGCAGTCGTGGCACAAACTTCGCCGCAATCCTCCTCATGTTCAGTTCCTCTGACAAAATTCGTTGACATGTACCATAACTTAGTCCCAA